CTAAGACCACGTTTTATTCAGGTACAAGCTCTCACTCCCCTGCGAGGGCAGATCTGCATGTCCCCCCCCCATAGCTAGCAATCCAAAACAGTCCAGTGGAGCCCAAGCGGTGGGTGTTGCCTTCTGACACACTTCCGGTGATGTCAGGGGGTGTGGCATATGCAAATAAATTATGCTACTGAGCCCCTACACCTCTTTTTCTAGGAAACGACCTCTGATTACAACTGGTCTCCAGGCGAGAGAAATCAGTTCACTTGGAGAAAAAACGGGTACCAGCTCTCCCTCCTCTGCGAGGACAGATCTGCACGTTCCCCCCCCCCCCAATAGCTAGCAATCCAAAACAGTCCAGTGGAACCTGAGCGGTGGGTGTTGCCTTCTGACACACTTCCGGTGATGTCAGGGGGTGTGACATATGCAAATGAGTTATGCTAATGAGTTATGCTAATGAGCCCCTGCACCTCTTTTTCTACGAAATGACCCCTGCCTGCAAGTGATATGATATTAAGGCCCTCCTGTACTAATATGTAATGGCAGGGACTGTTTCTCCCTCTGCATGGTTGGTCATGAATGAAACTTCTGCTTAGGGGTGATCAGCCCTGTAGCCAGAAACCGTTTTCAGTGGGGGAGCCGTGGGAGTACGTTTTGGGCAGGGTCAAGCAAGGAGGGTCAAGCAGTGTCCTGGGGTCGAGCGAGCAGGGGCCCTTCCTCACTTCCTGCCTCCCAGCCAGCGGGCGCTCTTGTGCTTGTCCTTGTTTCCGGGGGGGGGGGGGGGGGGGCTAACCCAGAGTGAGCAGCTCACTTTGGGGCAGCGGCTGGGAGACGACATCTTGTGATTTGGGTGTTATGCCTCTGTCGATACACCCCAAGATTGCATTCGCCTTTCTTGTCGACGCATCACACTGGAGTCACGCTGGAGTCCTCAGCAGGTATCCTCGTTTCTAAATTACTAGTAGATTCAAGAGTAGAAAATAGACTCCTCTTAGTTAAATTTTTAGTTCTGGCCATGAGCGTTCGGGCCATTTACAAGAGAAGAGTTGTCTTTGTGGCATATGTACTAGTCCTGTCTGGTCTGAATTTTTCCTTTCTTCCTCATATTCCCAGTTATGTTTGATAAACACTACACAAGACCTATAGGTCAGAGGAATAGTGAAAGAAAGAAAGAAAAGGAAAGAAAGAAAGTAAGAGAGAGGGAGGAAGGGCGGAAGGGCGGAAGGGAGGGAGGGAGGGAGGGAGGGCTCACAAATATGCCGCTATGTTCAGTGAAAACTTACTCCCACATTCATGTACACAGGACAGCAGCCAGCACAGCTTCTGCTTCTGAACTTCGTCACCTGGTCTACCTGTACATTCAGATTATACCATTTCCTTTTCTGGAAGGACATTTTTTGTTCTTGCACACACAGTGTTTGAATGTCATAAGGTATTAAACAAAGGTCACAGCCCGCGAACTCATCATTAAGGGAACAACCCCGTGGCAGCCAATGGGATTCCTCCGGGGTAAATGGTACGATGACGGCAGCCCAAATAATTTCGTAAGAGTGACCAACACCCATTATTAATGCCTCAGCTGCCGCTGCCATCTGGTCCGAAGGCATGTGGCAGGAAAGTAGAGCTGTGTGGAGATCAAGTGCATTTTCAACAAGCCCGTTTACTTTGTGAATATTCGGACCTGAAAATCTAAGGCACGTGGACAACTTCCCGACCCGAATCTTTTTTCCCCCTTTTCTTTTCCTTTCTCCGTATTAACCAAACTCAAAATGGAAGCTTTCCTCTGCCTTTATTTATTTATTTAATCTATAGTCCACCTTTCTCCTCAATGGGGACCCAAGGTGGCTTACATCCGTCTCCTCTCCTCCACTTTATCCTCACAACAACCCTGTGAGGTAGGGTTAGGCTGAGAGAGTGGGACTCGCCCACGGTCACCCAGCGGGCTTCCGTGGCACAAGTGAGGATTCGAACCCGGGTCTCCCAGATACGAGTCCGACTCTCTTGACCACTACGTCACACTGGCTCTGACCCAATAGGCCATGTCTGACCGTACGAATGGACCAGGTTTGCACAAAATGAGGGGGTTAGCGTGCATGGTGTTTATTCCAGTATGGCGGGCTGCCGGTATAAACTGAGCCTGCCTTTTAGAACCCTTGGAAATCTTGTGGATGATTTATGGCCACTCTCTCACATGGTCCCCTCCTCTCAGGTTCCGATCAGTTTTTATAACTTCCGCGATGTCACACCGTTAACAGCCAGTATGGTGTAGTGGTGAAAGTGTTTGCTCCAAATAGGTGAGAAATAACAAACAGAATCACAGCCGACACAAGGAAAAGGGGGTTTAAAAGATCTCGTTGGCACCCCAAACTTAAATACATTTGCTAAGAAGCAAGTCCCTTAATTTCAGAGGAACCTGTGTCACAGTTGTCTTCCCCCCCAATCCGATTTGCTTATTCACTCCCCGTGCTCAACATCTCAGAAACCTCTTTCCGGCAACTCTACATGCTCACTGCTCTGTTAACATGTTCCCCCTCGAAGGGACCGCCTCTAGTAGGAGCCGTGGTGCTGTGCCAACAGCACAGGAATAGGGAAGGCCGTCCCGCTTAGGTGTCCCCCTTCAGCCAGCTGTTCTTTGCGACTAGTCCCACACAGGGTCGGGATTCGGGACTGAACTGGAGCAGCTGTTTCACGAGCTTTTTGCAGGGTTCCGAAAAGTTCGGCAGATCTTCGGGAAACGTGGGCCCTCTCTTCTGGCGGCAGGGCATGCTGTGGATATGGGTGTCGTCAAAGGGCATACATCCGGTAATCATCACGTAGAGCATGATGCCCAGGCTCCACACGTCATACTTTTTGGGATCATAGGGGATGCCCATAAGCACCTCGGGGGAGGCGTAAGCAGCCGACCCACAGTAGGTGGTGCTCAGTTCCGGATATCCCCGCGACTCCTTGCCGAAGCCGAAATCGGTCAGTTTGGCTCGACGGCCATCGGACGTGAGCAACACATTCTCGCACTTGAGATCGCGGTGCACTAGATGCCTGTCGTGGAGGTAGCGCACGGCACCCACGACCTGGGCAAAGATGTCCCGTGCTTCTGGGGCGCAAGGTAGCTTCCCTTCTTTCTGTACCAGTTGTAACAAGTCCGTGGATGCGGCTTCCATGACAATGTAGAGCGTCCCGTTGCAGACCTCAATGAACTCGTAGACTCTCACGATGTGCGGGTGCCGAATCCCCCGCAAGATGGATAGCTCTCGTGGCAGGAACTTCTCGACGAAGTCTCGAGGGGCTCGGCGCCGGTCCACCATTTTGATCGCCAGAGGACCCTTGTACTTAGCCGAGGTGGCTACCCTGACCTTGGAATAGCTGCCTTCCCCAAGGGTTTGGCCCAGCTTGTAACCCAGGTCACAGAGAAGCTTGTCTCCCCTGGAACCCCTGGACATGGTGACCCGGAAAGGCTGAAACGCTCTTCAGTTTTCTTCCTTTCTTCCTGGGGCTCAGTGCTTCAACCCATTGTGATCGGCGTCTCCACACCCTGGCTCCCCATGTGCTCTCTGAGGGCCTGGCTTTGAAGTCATCACTACTCATACGGGTATTGTGAAGTCCTAAGTGTGTCATGTGTTATGTGTCCCTACGCATAATCAGTGGTGTCAGGCAGCTAACCTCATTGGGAAAACAGGGAATTGTTTCAGTTGAGCTACCCCCTTGGTATCTGAAGAAGTGAGTTGTGACTCGCGAAAGCTCCTCCCCTGCTACAAATTTTGTTAGAGAAGCAGAAGAAATTATTTACAATAATTTATTGTAAATTATGTACTGATTTTATATTTACAATTTATTGTAAATTATGTACTGATTTTATGTAAACCGCCCTGAGCTGGCCTTGGCTCAGGGCACGGTAAAAATCCAATAAATAAATACATACATAAAAATAAATAGGAGGAGGAGGAGATTAGATTTGTACACCGCCATTCACTCGGAGTCTCAGAGCGGCTTACAAACTCCTTTCCCTTCCCCTCCCCACAACAGACACCCTGCGAGGTAGGTGGGACTGAGAGAGCTCTGAGAGAACTGTCCTTGAGAGAACAGCTCTTGTAAGAACTATGGCTTGCCCAAGGTCATCCAGCAGGTGCCAGTGGAGGAGTGGGGAATCAAACCCGGTTCTCCCAGATTAGAGTCCGCGCACTTAACCACGACACCAAACTGGCTCTCTTCAAGGGGCTACTGGACTCTTGCTCTTTTCTACCGCTACAGACTGACACAGCGACCCATCTTGAATCCCCATGACCTATCTATACCCATCTTGATCTATTCCCCTGATTCAAGTCTATCTCCCAGTCTTTTCAATTACTATTCCAGTTCTCATCGAGGGATCTCGTCTGTACCACCAGATTCCGAGTGTGGGGTCACCGCGTTCTGCCCATTCCAGGTTGAGAAATACTTGGGAGATTTGAGTGGTGGAGCCTGGGGAGGGGAGGGGCTCAACGTACTATGATGTCATAGACTCCGCCTCCCCAAGCCGCCATTTTCTCCAAGGGAACTGAGCTGTGTGGCCTGGGGATCATCGTAAGCCCCACCGAGAGAATGGAAAACATCGGTTTTGCAAACAAAAAAAAATTCAATTCGTGCGTAAGTTTGGGAGAAGGATCCTAGCTGTCTTCCTGCTAGTTGTCTATGGAGGAATCAGGGTGGCCAACCTCCAGGTGGTGGCTGGAGATCTCCTGGCATTACAACTGACCTTCTCAGTTCCTCTGGAGAAAATGACCACTTTAGAAGGAGGACACTATGGCATTATAGCCCATTGGAGAAGAAGAAGAGAAGGAGAGCTTGGATTTTATACCCCACCCTTCACTCGGAGTCTCAGAGTGGCTTACAAACTCCTTTCCTTTCCCCTCCCCATGACAGACACCCTCTGAGGTAGGTGGGGCTGAGAGAGCTCTTCCAAGAACTACCCTTGAGAGAACAGCTCTGAAAGAACTTGTGACTGATCCAAGGTCATCCAGCAGCTGCGAGTGGAGGAGTGAGGAATCAAACCCGGTTCTCCCAGATTAGAGTCCGCGCACTTCACCACGACACCAGACTGGCTCTCCTGGAGTCCCTCCCTCCTCAAGCTCTACCACCAAAATCTTCAGGTATTTCCCAACTCAGAGCCGGCAATCCAACATCACAGCGCATTTTTCTTTCTCATGGAAGGTTAAACATTCCGTTATGGGACCTACAGTCCAAAGGCAAATCCGCCACAGCCAATGCGAATTCTGGCCCTCTGTCCTATAAAGCTATAAACTTGCTGGTTCCGTAGAAGTTTTGGGAGCCCCTGTAAGGATTTTTTAACTCTGAAATGCTGTAGGAATTAGTTTCCAAATGATTTGCAACAACGGACCCAATTTATTCCCGGAACGTCACGTTCTATGGAGTTTAGAGAGAGAAAGAGAGGTTATGTAATTAGATCCCCGATTTGAAAGGAAGATGGAGGACTTGAAATCTTCTATGTTAATGTATATTAGCATTACAATTTATTCTAATGCATACTATTTATAAAGGCTTTATTGGAGCAAAATAATTATCCTGACAGTGTGGGGGAAAAAAATCCTAAAAGACATCTGTGTGGGGCTTCAAGGTCAAACGTCTAACAGGTAAAAGGGGAAAAAAACTTTTGTTCGGGAGGAAATTTCGCAAATAAATCATAGAATGTTAAGAGTTGGAAGGGACCTTGCAGGTCATCTAGTCAAACCCCCTGCACTCTGCAAGAGCAGAGTGGAATGCTTCAGTCTTCTGTTGAAGGATACCTTAATTAGATGACTCCTTGAATCTTTTAAGAGACGCTGCATCTGACGGGCCTAATCCTGCACGGTGAAAAGTCTAGCTTCGACGCAGAGGCTGGGCGTATCTCCCAGCTTTGCTCTGCAAAGATCTCTCTCTAAAATTACAACACTTCGTTTCAATTCAAAATGATTAAAATGAGCCCTACGGGGGAAGGCGGGGTATAAATTTGATAAATAAATAAAAATATGTAGGGGTTTCCAAAGGAAGAAATAGTAGTTATTTCCCCAAAGATGTCTTCCCTCGGATTCCCTCTGACAGCATCCTCCTTCTAATTGTATTTCATTTAGATTTCCTGTAAAGAACAGGGATTCGATTCTGAGAACCCATGAGGTCATGCCATTGTAGGGTTGCCAGCTCTGGGTTGGGAAATACCTGGAGACTTTGGGGGTGGATCCTGGAGCGGGTGGGGTTGGGGGAGGGGCCTCCGCGTGGCCCAATGCCACAGAGTCCGCCCTTCCAAGCAGCCATTTTCTCCAGGGGAGCTGATCTCTGTCAGCTGGAGATCAGCTGTGAAAGTGGGAGGTCTCCAGGCCCCACCTGGAGACTGGCAATCCTAGCCGAGAAGCAAATATTATGCCATGACAGTCCAGCTTGGGAGGTGGGGGGGTTAAACGGTCCAGATTTGATTGCTGTATTCTGGAAGGCAGCAAAGGGGGGGGGGAGAAAAGACAAAATTCATTTTTTTGGGGGGTGCCGGGTAGGGTTGCCAGCCTCCAGGTGGGGCCTGGAGATCTCCCGCTTTTGCAACTGATCTCCAGCTGATAGAGATCAGTTCCCCTGGAGAAAATGGCTGCTTTGAAGGGTGGACTCTATGGCATTGTACACTGCTGAGGCCCCTCCCCTCCCCAAACCCCGCCTTCTCCTGGATCCACCCCCAAAGTCTCCAGGTATTTTCCAACCCAGACCTGGCAACCCTAGTGCCGGGAGTAACGCTCCCTCTATGCTCTGGAGTCTTGTGAGCAAAAATTCCACTTTGTGAGCTACTGGCATTAAAGTCGTCAGCGAGCGGCATAAATTAGTTAGCTCTGGAGGGATCTCCTCCCTGAGCTAAGACGAAAATGTCTGAGCCGGAGGCTAAAAAGCGGTGAGCCAGCTCACACTGACTCAGCTTAGAGGGAACACTGTCCAGGACTGTCTGTCCATGCAATCATGCTCAAAGCCCTGAGAAAGGGATCGCGATGAGTCTGCAGTCTACCCTTTCCGGCCAGACAGGCTCCGACCTGCCCCCCCCCAGGGGGGAAAGAGGGAGTGGGGGGGGAGTGGGAAACTAGTCTAGGTCAGAGGACAAAAGGAGCCCCGCCAGCCAATCAGCGCCTCTCACGGGGCACTTTGTCACACTCCGTTCCATTCTGGTGTCTCCGCGTTCCAAAGGGCGCGTCCATCCCGGCCGGAGGGGGGGGGGAAACAGGACCAGTTCGGACCGCGCCCTCCCTAAAACGGGCATCGCTCGGGGAACGAGGAGGGCCAGGAGGGGATTCGGCGGGGAGGACGGTATCCCGCGTGCACCAATCGACCATCTTTTCGCCCCCTTTCTCGGCCTTCTCCTCCCGAAACTTTTCCTGTCCCCCCCCCCCAGTCTAGCGAGAATGGTCCGGGCCGCCCGGTTTAAAAGCCGGGCGCAGCCACATGCTTCCTTTAGAGCGAGGGGGAAGCGCGTGGCGAGCGGGTGGGAAGGGACGCGCGTGTGTGTTCTGGAGCACGTGTGAAGGCGGAGGCGCGGCATTTGCTGCCCTTAAGCAAAGCAGGGAGGGGTGGAAGTCGGAAAAAAAGGGAAGGGGCGAAAGCAAGCCCAGAAGCCCCCCCTTGGTAGCTGTCAAAGAATAAGGGCGAAGGGGGAGAAAGAGCTGCGGGGGGGTTCAGTGCGGGGAAAGGGGCCGGCTCCTTCCCTGGCTGAGCTGCCCGGACCTCTCCAAAGCACCCCCCGGGCCTACTCGCGAGTAGGGGCGCACGTGCCTTCTGTGCCTCCCCCCCCCTTCCCGCAATCTCGACTCACCCGCAATCCCTGCTTGTTGCGTTTTCCCAAGCCTCGCCGTGTCCGCCTCTCTGCTTTGTCTCCTTTCTCCCAACCCCCCCTCCTGCGCCACCCTCCTCGCGAGTAAAAGCCCTCCGCCGCGCCATGGCCCACGAAACGTACCACTTCATTAAAGACATAAAGCCCGGACTGAAAAACCTCAATGTCGTCTTTATTGTGCTGGAGATCGGTAAGTGAGCCCCGCAGGAAGGGCTCGTCGACCGCAACCCCCCCCCCCCCCCCCCCAGGTTTCCTTTTGGGACAGGGGGCCGCGTGGTCGCCCGGCGGGGGGGGGGAGGGAGGGAGGGAAGCCCCCTCTTCCTCCTAGCCTGCCCTCCCTTCCTGGCCTGTAGGAGGCAGCAGAGAGCTGCTTCTGATGTTTGTGTATGTATAGATGTGTATATGCACACATAGGCACACAGATATATGTATTGATATATATGTATATGTAGATATGTGTGTGTAGGTATATCTATATATGTATTTGTTTATATATATGTATGTGTGCATATGTGTATGTGTGCATAGACACACATGCATACAGGTATATGTACTTATACATATTTTTGTGCCTGTACACATATACATATGTGTGTGTGTGTGTATATTTCTCTGTATTTTTCTAAAAAAATTGCTCCTGAGTTTTATTTCTAAGAAGACTTTCCCCTTTAAACAACAAAAAGAGGGTCAGCTATTAGGTTGGTATATCTGTATATGTATACGTGTGTGTATATATATATATGTATATACATGTGTATGTGTGTGTATATATATATGTATATATAAGCATACACATATGTATTTATACATTTTTTGTGATTGTACATATATGTATATATATTTACACACACAAATGCATATGCGCATGTGTGTGTGTGTGTGTGTATCTCTATTTGTATTTCTCTGTATTTTTCTAAATGTTTTGCTCCTGAGTTTTACTTCTAAACAAACTTTCCCCTTTAAACAACAAGAGAGGGTCAGCTGGTAGGTTGGTGCTCTTCCCGACCTTTTCATGTTCATGTTCTGCCTCTGTCTCTCCCCCCTCCCCGCCCGACTTACCCCCTGCAGGGCGGGTCACCAAGACCAAAAACGGGCGCGAGGTGCGATCCTGCAAAGTGGCTGACAAGACGGGCAGCGTCACCATGTCGGTGTGGGACGAACTGGGGAGCCTCATCCAGCCGGGCGACATCATCCGGCTGACCAAAGGGTACGTTGGGGGGAAGGGTGGCTTGGGGACACGGGTGGGCCCTGCCTCCTCCTCCTTCGTTCAATTTTTGGAATTTAATCCCCTCCCTTTTCCCCCTAACGTGGACTCCGAGCGGCCTGCGGCATTCTATTTTCTTCCATTTTATCTTCACAACAACCCTGCGAGGTTGTCAGACTCGCTGTACGTTTTATTGCTCGCTTGCCCAAGGTCACCAAGTGAGCTTCCAGGGGACGTCTGAACCTGTTTTTCCTAGACGCTCGTCCGACTCGCTTAACCACCCCAAGAACTGGTTGGCCACATCGTGAGGCAGGATGCTGGACTAGATTGACCGTTTGGACCATTGGTCTGATCCAGCAGGGCTCTTCTGATGTTCTTATGCTACTTCTGAGCATTCTTCTTAACTCGAACCCAGACCTTGCACTGGGGGAGGAGTGAAGTCAGCCTCGGCTTGTGACTTGCTTTTCAAACAGAGAGCCGGTGTCAGACTAGGATCTGGGACAGGTCCAGGTTCGAACCTTCGCGTTGCCTCGGAAGCTCACCAAGTGACCTTGGGCCAGCCCGCGTGCTCTTGGCCTAACCTACCTTGCAGGGTTATTGTGAGGATAAAATAGAGGCGAGGAGAATTGTAAAAAAAGTAACTTAAGGGTTCAAATAATTGTTTCTTAATTATTGCTAACTTCCAGGAATCTTTTAAAAAAATCCTTTGAAAGTCTCCTGGGGAATTAAGCTGCTAGCCACTAAGCAAAACAGTAAAAAAACAAGTGTTCTATATCAAATTTAATTGACAGCAGAAAAGTTTTTCTAACTAGGAGTTATAGTTTAGTTCTGATAAACAGGTGTTCTTGCATCAGCCTTTTTAATTAAAATAGCACAATAATAAATTGTGAAAGCTCAACATTTATAAAAACCTCTCTGCTTCAAAGAGATGAGGTTAGAAGTTTATTAGTCGCTTTACAGCCTCCCTTCAGAATGATGGAAGCCATTTTGGGTCACTATTAGGGAGAAAAGCCGGGTAGAAGCGAAGTAAATAAATTGCGAAAGGAATTTAATATGGAGCAGGAAGAGCAACAGAAACAGGGTCCCTTCGCTAGTCCTGACAGAGCCAAAATGGTTCCGGTGGTTAATCCATTGCGCTGAAACCAAAGAGTCCTGTATCAACTTCTGGGCTGGCCCATTTATTGCAACACAAACGGCTTCCGGGCAAAATGCACTCGAGCCCACAAGAGAATTAATTCCCCCCTGTTGTTTCCCCAGGGTTCTTGTCGTAGGGCAAGGGTTACCAGCTTCGGGGTGGGAGATTCCTGGAGATTTGGGGATGGACCCCCCCCGGGGAGGACGAGGTAGAATGCCGCAGAGCCCACCCTCCAAAGCAGCCATTTTCTCCAAGGAAACCGATCTCCGTAGCCGGGAGATCTGTCGTGATTCTGGGAGAGGTTCAGGTTCCACCCGGAGGCTGGCAACGCTGCCGAAACGACAGCTCCTTTTCTTCACTGGGGTTTGCCAACTCAGCAAGGTACGAGGCCACGGCGTCCGGCCTCCAAAGCAGCCATTTTCTCCAGGGGAACTGATCCCTGTAGTTGGGGGATCTGTCATAAACCCAGGAGACGCGGGACAGTCACCGTCCTGTGTGTCTCACATTTGGCCCGCCGGTCCTGATTGTATCTGAGGGCGAAGCCTTTTGGAGGGAGAATCCGCGGGAAGGATGCGGCCTTTCCCTGGCCGATGTACAAGATTGGGGGCCGAACGTGGTTTTCAACACTCAGCCCTGTGTATGCATCCTGCCTAGCTGCATTCCCAGCGAGGCCGCTTACCCAGAGCGATCCGTGACTCATTTCTTCAAAATGTGGTGGCTTAAAAATAAGAGAGCCGTCAACTTCCTTTTTCCTGTCCTCTGGCTTGTTCGGTTTCCTTCGCTGAGTTAAGGCAAGCCCCGGCTTTCCGCTGGGCCAAATGGAGGGTGGCAGCCAGCGTTCCCTCTAAGCTGAGTCAGTGTGAGCTAGCTCACAGTTTTTTTAGCCTCCGGCTCACACATTTTTGTCTTCGCTCAGGAAGGAGGGCTCCAGAGCAAGCTCACTTACGCAGTAGCCAAGTCGCTCACAACTTTAATGCCAGTAGCTCACAAAGTAAAATTTTTGCTCACAAGACTCCACAGCTTGGAGGGAAAATTGCCGAGCCAAGCTGTGTTGGCAAGAGGGGGAGGGGACGTCATCTTTCTTCTGGGAAGAAGCCCTGGTTAGCCGCTCCCACATTCTAAACACCACTTGGCGACCCCTGTTCTAGATGCTGTTTTTCCACCAGGAGGAAAATGGCTGGGGCATAGTAGATTGGGGGAAGGGGGTGGGTTGGTTGGTTGAGTTTGGGTCAGTCACAAGTTCTCTCAGAGCTGTTCTCTCAGGAGCAGTTCTCTCAGAGCTCTCCCAACCCCACCGACCTCACAGGGTGTCTGTTGTGGGGAGGGGAAGGGGAAGGAGCTTGTAAGCCGCTCTGAGACTCCGAGTGAAAGGGGGGGTATAAATCCAATCTCTTCCTCTTCTAAAAATTTTAAAAGCTGACTCCAGACCTCCTGTGTCCTCCATGACTAAAGCAAAAACCTCAAGGCCTGCCGGTCTCCTCAGCTGTTTGTGTGTTTGTCCTGTAGAGTAAAATCTGCTGGCTAACAAATCTTTATTTAAAAACAAACAAACTCGTAATCTGTCGCCTGCCTTTCTCAATGGGTGTGTCTCAAGGTGGATTACAGAGAGAGAGTCAATACAGTCGACGAGACGGGGATGGTCAATAAGCAATGAAATAGGGTTTGGGTTTTGGGGCCGACCAGGAGTCCAGTAAAAGAAGTAGCTAGGTTTTTATGCACCTTAAAGATGCATCGTTATTAGCGTGCTGGCTGCGGCTCTTGAAATTGGATGAGGACTGGGGGGCTCTGATGTCATGGGGTGATTGTCGACGGGTCATTCCCCCCCTGTAAGGTAAAGGTTCCCTTGCTCGAAAGCCAGTCGAGTCCGACTCTAGGGTTGCGGTGCTCATCTCCGTTTCCAAGCCGAAGAGCCAGCGCTGTCCGAAGACGTTTCCGTGGTCATGTGGCCGGCATGACTAAACACCAAGGCGCACGGAACGCTGTTACCTTCCCACCGAAGTGGTACCTATTTATCTACTTGCAATTTCTTGCTTTCGAACTGCTAGGTTGGCAGGATCCCCCCCTGTAGCAACCAGATAATTTCTCCCTCAGAACCAACAGTTAGCAGAGAAAACGTCATATCCTCTTACAGGGCGCCGTAGCTGTGTTTGTGACAGACGCAGAGGAACACAGGCTGATGGGCAGAGTCCAATGTTCCCCTCAAAGCCATGGAGTCTTGTGAGCAAAATTTCTACTTTGTGAGCTGCTGGCCTTAAAGTTGCGAGCGAGCGATTTGGCTGTTGCATAAATTAGTCTGCTCTGGAGCCCATTCTTGCTCTGGAGCCCTCCTTCCTGAGCGAAGACAAAAATGTGTGCGCCGGAGGCTAAAGAACGGTGAGCTGGCTCACACTCACTCAGCTTAGAGGGAACACTGGCGGAGTCGCGTTCTTTTTTTTTTGAGATCCTTCGGAAAATAATTCTGAAATATATTTACCTGCCGTTCCCATTAGATGTGTTCTTTTCGGTTTTCCACACTCAAGAATCCGGCTGCCTGGTGTTTGTTTGCACAGGGCATGCGGAACTTGTCTTGCTTTCTGCGCTGTATAGATTTCTGGGTCGAGGGGTCATAGGAACCCATGAAAGCTGCCTTGCACTGAATCAGACAATTGGTCTGTCAAGGTCAGTATTGTCTACTCAGACTGGCAGTGGCTCTCCAGGGTCTCAGGCAGAGGTCTTTCCCATCACCTACTGCCTGGTCCTTTTAACCGGAGATGCCGGGGATTGCACCTGGGAACCTTCCGCATGCCAAGCAGAAGCTCTGCTACTGAGCCACGGCCCCTCTATGCCTTATGCCTTGTCCCTGATCGAACATTTGCATTTCTTGTGAGAGGATCCATTATCAGCTGTGCGATCCGCAAATCATTTTGTGGCGTTTAAGACACAGCCATTGTTCCCTCTAAGCTGAGTTAGTGTGAGCCAGCTCACAGTTCTTTAGCCTCCAGCTCACACATTTTTGTCTTGGCTCAGAAAGGAGGGCTCCAGAGCAAACTAATTGATGCAGTAGCCAAATTGCTTGCTCACAACTTTAATGCCAGTAGCTCACAAAGTAGAATTTTTGCTCACGAGACTCCACACCTTAGAGGGAACATTGGACACAACCCGTCCAAAGTTAAGCCTATAAGAACCTGACTGATTTCAGCAGCAGGGGATTAATCACCTGTCAAACCCGCCTGTGGCGGTCAGTGGAATACAGATGAGCCAAAGTTTGGCCGGGCCCTGTATTTTTTCATCTGTCAAACTGGATTTTGTTGTTCTGTTTTCCTTCTAACACTGCTGGTACTCTCTCGGTTAGGTACGCATCTCTCTTCAAAGGATGCCTTACGCTTTACACTGGAAGGGGGGGAGATCTTCATAAAATCGGAGAGTGAGTATCTTGTTCTTACGCTTATTCAAGGCCTCGTGGTTTTCAGGCTGAACTGGTGGGTATAAACTGTGGGCTGTGGATGGGCCCAAAGGAAACCTGCGTCCCACTGTCTCTTTATTGGCTTAAGGGGGCTTTAGTATCCATGCCGAAGAGTTTTGTTTGTGGGCGTTTGGGTCATGATAAGTGTGTGGGGATCCGAGTTGTTACTCTAACCACCCTTCAGGAATGAAGTTATCCTGCAATATTTGCAATATTTGCTTTGGTGAGAAGTCATGTCAAATTAACTTGTTTGTCACAGGTTTTTTTTAGCATTCCTCTTCTGAAATCACTTCCCTCTTACACTTGTCTGTTGACCTGTCCTGAGTCTTTTAAGAGCTTTTGTACTGGCCAGATTAAATGCCCGTTCATTGGTAATTATGGCTAAGTTTTTGCGCTTGCCTTACTCAGAACAAATTTGCTCCTGTTATTTAGGCAAGATTGGTCCTTCTTCACACATTCTTCTGGAGCATCTGTTGTATATAGAATCATAGAATCATAGGGTTGGAAGGGACTTCCAGGGTCATCTAGTCCAACCCCTGGCACAATGCAGGAAATTCACAAATACCTGCCCCTCCACCCCCCCAGTGACCGCTGTTCCACACCCAGAAGATGACAAAAAAAACCCCTCCAGGATCTCCAGCCGAACTGGCATGGAGAAAAATGGCTTCCTGACTCCAAAGTGGCGACCGGCATTTCCCTGGGCATGTAAGAAAGGGCCACAAGAACTTAAGTACTGAGGCAACCCTTTCCTGCCCCTCCCTCTCATGATGGGCCTAAATTCTCAGAAGACCTCAGAAGATGCTATATTTCACTGTGCATGTTGGCCCGCTCTGATTTATAACCCTATGAGATAGTTACATCTTGCTGGCGAGGACCCCCCCCAAACCCCTAGCAGTTTTAATCGTCTGTTACTCCTTTTGTCAGTTGGGTAATGAACGATTTATAATTATTCACTGCTCAAGAGCTTTGCATCGTAGAATTTTTACTGGATTAAAGGAAGGGGATTCTCCTTGGGATTAAAGTACAGTTTTGGGGCTCTGTCGTGGGTTCTGTCCGGCCCAGGCTCTTCCCCCTAAATACATTGGTCAGCAGGTAAGTGCCAGTGGTTGCTTCTGGGTTATCACGTTGGAAGGACTTGCAGCCTTAAAAACTGAAGTCCTCTATTTATCCACAGGCTAGGCACGGTAGGAGGCAGCCCCATTGCGAGCTTCCGCACTACTCTGGAGGAGCCAGCCTCTGCTAGGGGTGTAAAGGTAAATTTCCCCCTCTGTCTACTATCGGTCATGACGATCGGTCGTCCAAGCTCCGTGGGCAAGGCAGTTGGTTTGCTTCACTGGCGTGTGCTCCGGATTAAATGAGAGGTTCCGAAACGAAGGGGGTTTCCCGCCTGCTCATCTTCCTCGCTTGTAAGCTCCTGTTTCTTTGGGGTTTTGTCCTGCTCCTTTCAGTGGTCAATTCTGTGTCACACTGGTTTATGTCTGGCATATCTCCCTTCGGATTTAAACTGCGGGGTTTTATGCTGGAGGTAAACCAGCGCAATATCGGGTTGACCACTAGAGGGAGTGAAATGTGTTGCCAGGTACTTCAGTGACGCAGTATCAATAGCA